ACATGTACATGTGTGTACCTGCTTTAGTTCTGTCAGATGGCAAAAAGAGAAATCTGTAACATTCCCTACATAACCCCTACCCCCCTCTCCCCATTCTCCTTGCACCCCCTGAAGACATACATATACGTGGGTCATTAACAGACAGCAAGTCTTTGAGTTCTTAATATATTTGTCTGGTAACTACAGCAGTAAGGTACATGTAAGTCTGTGTCAGGCTAACATGATGCATACCACCAGTGCTTATCCCTTATACATTTATGAACCATGAAAGGGGCTAGGAATATTTCCTCTCACCCCTGGATGGGATTCTAGTCCACCAAAGGGTTACTGGGCTGGCATATTCGCCAGTAAATTTTGTATTACACCTGGTTGAAGAGAGCAGGGATTGGGAAGACCATGGGCCATGCACGTATGGCGCATAAAGCTACGAAATGATGCATTATGATGCGCTATGCACCCTAATGTCGAAACAGCTAGTAAAATGTACACTATTTTGTGAAAAGGATTTTCATTTGTGAAATTTTCAGTGTAATGACGAATAAACACACTAGAAATCACAATGCCTTTGCTCTTTAATCGACGTTATAAAAACAGTCATTTTGTTTTTGTCCCCAAGACCCCTTACTCGGACGCTCCTCGCAAATGAGGTTCTTGCTCAATCCATTTGCTTTCTGTTTTTTAATGAAAGGATCGGCTGATTTGAATATGTTTTGTGTGCTATAATTAGCCAAATAATATGCCTCTGAAAGTGAAAGTTCCAAAATTAGAAAAGATTGTTGCTTTTTTGCACTACAAACACCGAGTCCACCACAAAGAATTGTGATCCTGAAAACAATGTTCAAGACGAAGTTTCCAAGCCTTCTACATGTAGTTTTGAGGAATGAAAAAATGTTTGGTTAACGTTTCAATAATTATTAGGGAGCTACAGGTGTGTTAGTACATGTACAGTTCATGCACAGCTCAAGTTTTAAATTGTAAATGCAACATTACTTGTCACTCTAAATCTAAAACTGAGCATGTCTCAGTGATGTTGATGTCAGACTGCTCAGTATGTTAAGTTTAATCAATTCCAGTTCAGAATGCATAGTATAACCTCAATGAAAGGTTATATAATTTGAGTTAGCTATATTCTGTGACTGTACACTTAAACCTAGC